AAATGCAATCAAGTCCTTTTTCGATTTCGGTTAAGAATATTTCTTCCTTTACAGACCTATCAAATAATTCATAAAATAATTTATTATCAGCTGGTGCAGTATGATAAAGCCATATCATTACTATACCGCATAGGACGCTTTATGCGATGAAACGCTTGAGTGAGAGATCTTTGTGTAATAAATTATTTTTATTTTTTATATATAATTATTTCGAATTTCGAGACACCAATTCTGTGTGAAATAATATGTGGTTTGAAAGATTTTAAAATGAATCATTGATTTATGTCCCAGGCATAATCTTTATTTAAGAAGAGTATGAAATCAGTTTTCTTTACTAAGAAATGACCAATGTTTGGAATATCTCACAGTATGTGAAATGAGAATTTGATATTCCATTCAACACAACAATCAACTATTAAAGATGATTCCTTTTGATTTAGTATTAGCAATTATCATGCATATCAGTAGCTGTACTGTAGAGATAGATAACTTTGCATATCTAGACAGTTGACCTTTATTTGAGATTATTGGGAAGAATAAAAAATTTTTGAAAAATGAATAAGTGACTATCACCAGTCAAACACTCAAATCACTTATGTTTCTCAAAGGTTTAAAACCACTTTTTTCATACATCTTTCTCCGCATTCTCTATTATTTGCTGACTTTATATCTGACAATCGAATCTTTTTTCGTTTGCTTTAAATCATCACCTAAAATGATCCGTTTAGCTTCCATAGATACCATTAACACCATTTAATGTTGCATTTTGTTTCATTTTCGTTCCACAAAGAATTTATAAAATATTTCTTTGTTTCATGAATTCCGGAAGATCCATATCAGAAAGACATTTTCTATTATAAATAGAGAAGCTCTGTTTGAAATTAACTGCACTAATTTTCAATTTAATATATTTTCTCAGATAGCCGACGATATCATAGCTTTTTAGCTAGAATTTCTGTGTTCTAAACAATCATTGACGATTTATTCCTTATATTTTAACAGTGTCATAACTTTTAAGGGAAATTTTTAAATTTCGATCTAACAACTACGATTCGCTTTAAGGAATTGTGTATTATAGATAAGGAAAAGGTTTCATCTGCGAAAGTTTTCTATTTTGAAACGATCTTCTAAAGCGACTTAAATACCTCTTTTGACATTTTATTCTTCCGCGTCTCATAAAATTTAAATAATTAAAAGCTTTAAAAGAAATTTGAAAATTTTAGCCACTGTGCACAAAACCAATTTCAGATTGTCAATGCACCTTTTCGGTACTTTCTCATTGGTCATTTGTGCTGTTTTCGTAGCTCAAGTAAGTTTCATGAGCAGGTTGTTTTAAGTGAGAAAGATTAAGTATGAAAGCATATTTCTGCAAGACACCTTAAAAGTTTATTTCAGGCTTGCAGTTCAAGAGGACCGCCAGGGCTGCCAGGGCCTCCAGGACCGGATGGAATGGATGGGAGTAAAGGAGAGCCAGGACCACAAGGAGCGGTAGGACCTCGAGGACTAAAGGGTCCGATTGGACCGAGGGGAGAGAACGGGCAAAAAGGACTGCCTGGGCCACAAGGACCACGTGGAGAACAGGGCGAAAAAGGGGAAGTAGGAATCATGGGACCAGTGGGAGGAGCAGGAGGATAAAAGCAATAGGCAATGGAATTTGTCTGAGATATTGAAACAATCCCTCTCAATGATATCAGTTCTCTTATTTTTTGGTTTTTTACCTGCGCTAACCTTCGTTGATGTGTCCTTTACATTTCGTCATGAAATTCATAGACCTGAAATTATTATCAGTGGAATTTGCTTATAAACACTAAAGCATAAAATTTAAAATTTACAAAGCAAATGCTTTATTATGCTTTCAAATCACAATTAATTACCGTGAATTGAATTTTATGTTCCAATTTTAAAATTTTAAGTTGATTAGAATTTTTGAATTACTATATTTCAACTTAAAATACTAAAACATTCGAATTAATACAAACAACATTTATTGTACTCTAATATAGGATCCTATTGCTTAAAAAGATCATTACGGAAGAAATGAGTGATTATCGATAATTTGGCCTTTAGGCTTATTTTAAGTGAAGCACTTTGTTGAGGGTAATTGAGACTATACGATTTGACAATTGTTGAATGAAGAAGGATGGAAGTGAATTAAATAAACAGAAGAGAAATAAGTGAAAATAAAGTCGGAAGACTGAATGATAAGAAGAAACGAATTTGTAAATTACAACGAATTTAACTCTTTGTTAAAAAAGCAATTAATCAACGGAAAAAACAAAGGATTATTTATATTATGAATAAAAAATTAGATTTAATGAAATTATGAATATAAATATAATTTTTTGGCAAGTTTTTTTTTAATTATAATTTCTCCGCGCGGAAATTGATATTATAATTATATTTTAATGAATAAGCAAACAAACTGATTAACTGACTATGTGATTTGCTTTCGTATTGACTAAGTTTGACAAAAAACTTGCCCAAAAAAATTGCAACCACATATTAATCTTTAATATTTTTCCTTTACTTTATACTGACTCTCTCGTTTTATCTTACTCTTTAACTTTCTACTTTCTTTTCAACAAAATTGGTATGAAATGTTTTGACTTATATCCTTCCATGGGCATATGAATATCTTCCTTTTACGTAATTCAACTTTTTTATCACTGTAAGGAAGCGGAATTTGCATTCAATTTAAAAATCGGTCAAAGAATTTCTTGTTATGTGGCGGTGACAATGAGAGTAATGAGGAATTCCTACCGGTACCTACTTTTCCAATGTTTCCTTGCAGCTCTCTCATATTTTCTTGTCCTCACTTTTCTTTGTTACTTCGCTGATCTTGTCCTCATCATTCCCTGGTATTTCCCCTATACGGACTATTTGGATCTTAATCCTTTGGTTTCTGCGAGTTGCATCCATGTTACCCTGGAGGTCTTATTATTTGAAATCGACAGCCCGAAACTAAAACCGCCATCAGTTTCATATAGAAAAATACGTTGAGACTTTCTGACTTATGAACAATTTATTAAAGAACTGATTTAAATTACGAACATAGCGCAAATAACCAATAAGGAAAAGCCGAAAAGATTTATTAGTACAAAGAGCCCGAAATTAATTGTATACGTGAACGAAAACTTCTAAATTTTCTTCAAATATTTAATACTATTGATAATGAAGAGAATTGACCAAAAAGAATAAAGGAACACTCTTGACCTTCATTCACCACTCGCATTCAGAGTTCAATTTCCAAGCGTCACTGATCTCTACTTTCAGCAAAATTAATCAAATTTTTATCTTGGTTATAATTAAAGTTATTTGTGTATGTATTACTCATCTTTGCTTGATGTATTTAAAATTTTAATTTTAGACGAGCTTATTTTAAGGTTTCTCGAAAGGGTCTTTTATTCCATGAAATACATACTTTGATTAATACATCTTTCAGTAACTTCAAATACATTTCATAATAACACATAATTACAGTTAAATCTTCAGACAACTTTGCCAAATTAAGCTTCAAACAAAATGACAGATTGTTTTGACCTTTTTGATAGCTTTTAAGCAAAATCCGAAATCTATTTTCCTCACGCTATATTGATGAAATGCTTTTCTTCAATTGAAATCATCAGAGAACAGTTGAAAGTGATAATTAATAATATTACGATTTCTTTCGTACATTCAAAAAGGTTAAACTTGAATTTCAGTCGAAGTTACAAAAAAGAAAAGAAGTAAAGAATTCCAGAAACTTCTGAAGAACAACAATCTATAAATAATCGACACGATCAAATTCCCAAATCACTTTTGTTCCTCGAAAGTTCAAAACTTGTTCTTCTATCCATCTTTCCGGATTCCCTATCAATCTTTGATCCTCTAACAGTTGACTGAATCTTCCTTCCGTTCACTTTAAATCATCGCATAAATAGGTTCGCTTAGCTTTTATAGATATCACTAATATCACCAAATATTGCATTTCGTCGTATTTGATATGACCATCACAAAAAAATTCTAGAAATATTTCTTTGTTTTATGAATTCCGGAAAGATTGATATCAGACATTCTATCTCTAATATAAATGAAAAATTCCTGTCAAAATTTGCCTCATTAAATCCCAATTTAAGTCTCAAAACCTTTTTTTCACATCCAATGATCTCATAATCATTCGACCCGAATTTCCGCATTCTAATTATTTGATTGCGATTTTCCTTAATTAATTAAAGAGTGTAAATAAGAGAAAAGTTCCATCCATGTA